CCAAAATTAAATGAAACAAACTGATTCTTGGTAAAATCGTAACCAATTTTTTAATTTTTATTGTTTTAATCATTTATTTAAATTTAAACGTTTTTTTTTCACTGAATTTATTAAACAAAGCAAGCAAAAATTACTACAATTTTGAACAACCTTAAAGACCAAACTAATTGTAATAATAATGACAATCAGTGCGTCAGAAACCACATTTTGGTCTCACACTTTTTTATCACTTTTACAATTTAAAAGTGGTGTTGTTTTTGTTAATCTAGTTTCTGATCGTTATCTTATCTCAAGTTGCGCGACTGGATTCAGAATGATAATAATTTTGGGTCAATATTTGCAAAAAAGTAGCTCAAATACTTAATAAATCAATTTATTGAAAATAAAGAAAATTCAAAAACAATATTAGACAATACAAGTGTGAAAACAATCAATTGCAAACTGGAAATGCTTAACTAAAATTTAACAGAATGTTTTTTTATTTTTTCGCTTTAATAAGATGTTTAAAAAATTGCTGAAAGTAGCAAAACAACGCAGATTTGTAAAAACAGTTCTTTCTAGATTTTTGATAGCAAAGATTAGCGAAAAACATAAATCCATTTCGTAACTTTTCGATTGATAATAGGAAAATGTCGTTTTGTCCACTAAATTTAAATTAAACAGAGTAAGCAAAATCACTACAATCTTTAGCAATTTTCTTTAAAAAATTAAACAACCTTAAAGAACAATTTTTGAAAAAATACTTGAAAGTTGTCTCTTCTACAATACATGTCATTTGTTTAAAGAAAACTTTCGGTGAACAATTTTCGCAAAAAAATTAAATTCATATTTAATTTCTTTCCAACATTGCTATTTTCTTGTTGTTTTTTTTTATTAAAAATTTTGCTTTTTTGGTAAGTAGTCTTTCGTATTTTTAGTTTTAGTACAGTGCAATTTTTGTACATTTTATTAGTTATTTTTGTTAAGTTAAATAGCGTTTGCTAGACTTCGCCTTCCAGGTTATATTTACAAGTCAAATAAAAACGGTTTATTATTATTATTATATAAGTAATTTTATACTTCTTCTTGGATTCTCTTAGTTTGGGAATGATGAACAAAAACACAAATTAACTCGCCACACCAAATTTTTATTTTTAACACGACGCGTTTTAACCACAAAGTGATCATCCCCAGGTGAGAATAAATTTAATAATTTTACTTAATAATTTTATTACTATCTTTCATAAGATGAGTTTTTATAACTGAAACATGACAAAAATTTATTTCAATCTCAGTGAGATGTATGATTTCCGATTAAAAACTGATGATTCTTACATAATATACCAAGTGAACAAAAAATATGGAACCAATTAGCGTTTTTTTAATCATTTACCTTCATTTTTAATGAGAAAAACTGTTTTGAGGCTCTAATATCATCGTGATTCAAACCCTATAAAAATCCTAATGCCAGAGAGATGCCAAAATTTTTGACTTTAGTACCAAAATGTCAGAAACTGTCAAATGTCAAAAACAGACGGAGGTCATGTCGGGTTCTTGATTCACACTACCCCCACCAGCATTAAAATATAAACTTTATTTCCAATTATTATACGTTGCCGTTTTACCTTTAGAATTGTCATTTTATTTGACGTTTCACTTGCAGTTAGTTCAAAAACAGACATACGTTTTCGAATCCAAAGATGACTCGATTACAAATTACCTTGATCTCTCGATATAACTAATCAAAAAATTGTAGATTCCGATAAAAAAAACATGACTGATATTCTACAATACGTAAATGTTTTCACTATCAAAAATTCAGAATGTTTAAATATTTATGGTTATGGACTCAAGTCTTGTAAAAGAAATTGTTTATAATGATGTTTTTTTAATTAAAATTACTTTTTTAAAGCTGTACTTTTCAAGATAAGATTAAGTTAAGTTTTTGATTGAAAAGTGATAAGAAACGTGTTAGTGCAAAATGTTCTTTTATGGAGCATTGATTATGTCTCTAGTGTTTTTCTCTGAAGGCAAAATTTGCCCCAAAAACGGTAAAATGGTAAAAAATGTACTTTTTCTTCTTATTACACTAATTGTTTATACAGAAATTGAGGTAATTAATGGCAATGACGCCCAAAAGGGTCAATTTCCGTGGCAGGTGGAGTTAATGTTGGAAACAACAGAAAACGATTCTATTTTCTGTAGTGGTGCTTTTATCAGCAATAATTGGGTTCTCACTTCTGCTTCGTGTATCAATAAGTTAGTAAAAAGTTAAAAAGTACCAAAATTATTATTTTTTATTTATAGAGTTAAACGCATGACTGTAATTTATGGAACTAATGATTTAGGTAACAATGCAAATACAATAAAGACTAAAAGTCACATAGTTCATGAAGATTTTGATAATAATACTCAACAAAATGATGTTGGATTGGTGGAACTCGAGTCACGTGTAATTTTTGATGGTGATATTAGAACGAAATTTGAAATAACTCAATTAAAAATGAATTGTTTTAGAAACCACTAAAGCTATATGTTTGAGTGAAGACGTCATAGGGGACGGAGTTAACGTTACAATTGCTGGTTGGGGACACTCTAATAATGGTAAAATTTTATACAAAAATTTAATTTTTAATTAAAAAATTGTAGATAACATTAACATTACTCCGATTTTACAATATGTAAATGTCTCGACTATCAAAAATACAGAATGTGCAGAAGTTTTTGGTCGTGACATTGTTACTTCAACTGTGCTTTGCACACACGACTCAAGTCTTGCAAAAGGTCCTTGTATTAACGACGGTGGAGCCCCCTTAATTATCAATGCTGACACTGACCCAAAACATGTCGGTATCTTCAGTTTTATAGGAGAAAACGGGTGCGAAAAAAATTTCCCTGCAGGATATACAAGAACAGCATCCTATTTAGACTGGATTAAAAATAAAACTGGTGTAGGAGTCCCTTGCAAATAAAAAAAAATTTGTGTTGTATGCAACCAGTAAAACTTTTGTCGATTGAAACCATAGAGTTACAAAAAACAAAATACAATAATTACAGTTTTGTCACACAACAATTAATTAAAATTCCTAACTGTGTGATAGTATTGATTTTAAATAAAATTAGAATTAAAAATCAAGTTAAAAATTGCCCACAATAATGTGTTTTTGTTGCGCCATCTACATTTTTCGTTTTGTGACCAAAACATCTGTCATCTGTCAAAAAGTGTAAACAACCGAAATTAAAACTTGTTAAATCGTTTTTCACACCAAACTACTCGTTAACACTTCGCATAATCAATAAAATCATGGAAACGAAATCCGCCCCTTCATTCTGGTGGTTGAAAACCCCCAACACCACCACCAAAGAAGAAAACGCCAATAACCTCACAATCCCCAAACTCGACTTGGAAATCTCAAACTCCCTCGCCGAATTCCTGGAAAAAGAGCAAAACATCCTCAACAGCAACCACGAAGACGTCGGGAGCATAATCGAGGAGATCAACAGAGTGGCCGCCCAAAGCCCCTTGGGGCCCTTCGAGCGCTCCACAGGGGAGCGCAGCATCGACGACATTATGCGGGAGGCGGAGAAGATCTACATGGAAAGTTCGAAAAGCTTCGAGCAGTTGAGTCAACGCTCGAAAACGTCCCAAAACATCACAGATTTGAGCAAGAACTCGACACCCACACCCAGGAGCGTGAGCCCCCTTCCGAACGACGAGAGCGAAAGCGAGACGTATAGTGAGGACTTCAGCGACGAGAGTAAAATGCAGTCCCCTGAGAAAAATGAAGAAAATAACGAGGAAAAAGACCAAGAAATACAAGAAGACTTGATAAAGACGCTCCAGGAGGATAACAAGCAACTAAGAGAGGACATTCGACTTGTTAGGGTGAGTTTTAATCGTTTAAGCGTTTTTGTTTATTTATTTTTTAATTAAAATAAAATTTAAATAAATAATTTAAGCAGCTGCAGCTGCTTCTGCAATCACCCTCACCGCAGCTAAAGCTTCAGTTGCGGTGGGTTGAATATAAGCCGCCGGAAGCACAAACCCATATCTTCCATTATCTCGCAATTCAATCGTGTAGGAATATTTGAATTTGGCGCTGCCTTTGGCCCAATCATCGGAGCCCCCCGAGGCCGGATATAGAGTGTTAGCCGCCGGGCCGAAGGTATAATGTGATCCCCCGGTCGTTCTTATCGCCTGTATTAAAATTTCGATTAATTTTGTGTGATTTTTGTGTGTGTGGGGGATTTACCGAAGCCACTTTTCTTGCAACATTTTCCAAGTCTTTGTAGTCGGGGGGCACGACTCTGTCGTAGCCCCACGGGTATAGAATGTATTGTCCGTATGAGTGGAAGGAAATGTAGGCTTTCCAGTTGGCACCATTGCCTTGGATGAAATTTCGAACGGCTGAAGTTTCAGGTTCGGAAAAGGGGCCTGAGCCCCCGAAGGTTTCGGTGCAGGGGTTCTTGGATGAGCCGCGGCCGCCCCAACGGTACCTTAAAATGATTGAAAAATTATAAATTAATTAGTTTTCTTGTTGAAACACGAAGCGAAGCCGAGTGCTTTGAGTAGTTAAAACTTAACTTTTTTATAACGAAATTATTTGCAAAATCCGCAAAAAACGCAATTTTCAGATTAAAAATCTGCTAAAACACTCAAAAAAAATGCAAAAATTATATCATTTTCGATCTAATTATGTCATTTTTCCGCTTGTTTTGCGAAATAATTGGGTTTCTAGCTGAAAAACGGACTAAAACGCTCGAAAAATTAAAAAATGAGCAAGTAATTTTTCAGCTTGTTTCTACGAAATTTTCCGAAAAAGCAAAAGCAACTCCATTTTTGGCATATGTTGTTGTTTTTAACGAAAATTTGCAAAATAATTACGTTTCTTACTGAAAAGTGTGTTAAAACTTTAAAGACATGCTTAAAAAAAGCACTTTCAGATAAATTTTGTGGTGTCTCGGTTTATTTTGACTTAATTTTGCTCAAAAATTAGTAAAATTGAGCGAAATAAACAAAATAACATTATTTTTTTGTTATTATTAAACATGATTTGCGTTTCTAGCTGAAAAACGTACTAAAACGCTCGAAAAATTAAAAAAATTATATAATTTTTCACTTTTTGATTGATTTTTTAGGTTGTACAAAAGCGTGCAAGCATTTTTAACCAAATTTCTCGTTTTCACGTCTTATTTTTAAGTCGATTTTGCTCAAAAACCAGTTAAATCAAGCGAAATAAACCAAATAACATAATTTTCAATTTATTTTTGTGATTTTTGGGCGTCTTTTGAAAAAGATTTTTTTGGTTTTATCTCAAACTCCCGGAAAAGTCAAAACAACTCTATTTTTGGCAAGTTTTGTTCAATTTCTTGCTTGTTTTTTACGAAAATTTGCAAAATAGTTTTTTTTTCTTTTTTTCCTGAAAAGCGTGCTAAAACGCTCGAGAAATGCAATTTTTGACTTAATGTGTTGATTTTTTGGTTTCTTTTAGCGAAATCTCGGAAAAAACTGGACTTTTAGTGCAAAGACTTGCTTAAAAAAAAGCATTTTTTTGACCAAATTTTGTAGTTTCTCGGCTTCATTTTGACTTAATTTTGCTCAAAAATCAGTTAAAGTGAGCGAAATAAATAAAATAACATCAGTTTCAATTTATTTTTGTGATTTTTGTACAAGATTTTGAAAAATAAATGAGCTTCTGGTTTAAACATAAACTGGAGCGAAACAAGCTAAAAAATAATACTTATCGATTTTTATTTTATTTTGTAATTTTTTAGCCGGCTTAAACCATTTTTTTTTGTTTATATCTCAAAAACGTGTTTAAATACTCGAAAAAGACATAAATTACACTTTTTTTTTTAAATTTTCGAGTTGTTTTTAACGAGTTTGGTAAAATAATTGTGTTTCTAGCTGAAAAAACATTCGAAAAAGGCAAAGGTAAATTGTCTAAAACTCAAAAATAATAAACCTGAATTTTGGTACAAAAACGTGCTTAAAAGCATTTTCAACCAAAGTTCGTGTTTCCACGGCTTATTTTTGGATTAATTTTTCTCAAAAACCAATTAAATTGAACAAAATAAACAAAATTACATAAATTTCAATTTATTTTTATGATTTTTATGCGTGTTTTGAAATGGTGTTGCAAAATAAACGAATCTTTTAATTAAATCTAGTGAAACAGGTAAATAATGATTTCAATTTAATTTTGTAATTTTTCATTCTGTTTAAACGAAATTTTTCTAATGTTTTTTATTTTACCTCAAAAACCCACTCAAATACTATGAAAAGGCAAAAACAACTCCATTTTTGGTCAAATTTGTCGAATTTTTGGCTTGATTTTACCAAAATTTTGCATTTCTTACTGAAAAACGTAAAATATTTGAAAAAGACTATTTTTAACTAACTTTGTAGTTTTTCGATTTATTTTTAAGAAAATTTGGCGAAATAATCAACTTTTTGGTTGAAAAACGTGCAAAATGCAAAGTTTTTGTAATCGCAGTTAGCAGCTTTTTCATTTAGAAAAAAATCAACAAAAATTTTCACCAAATCATATTCTGACTGACACAAAAGTGTAGTATAATGAACTACTTTAGTGCCGATTTTAACACTTTACTGACTATTTGGAAAAAAGTTCTGAAAGTCTAAACTTTTCTCGTGTTATTTTCCCACACATAGCTGTCAAAAATACGTAAACATGTCAAAAAATTACCCAAAGTTTCTGTTTAAATCCACTCCGGCACATTGTCCTCCTCCTTTTCTGTTTTTCCTCCACAATCTATCTCTTGTATGTGAATATTCGTAACCATCAGGGTTCAACACTGGTGTAATGTACCAATCTATGTTTTGTACTGCAGAAGATTCCGATTCGAAATTCGAAACGAATTGATTGATAATAAATGTGACTGTTGCTGGAGATATCCATTCTCTTGCATGGATTCCACCATCCATCCAAATGGCTTTATTTCCGGGATTCCCATTTGAAATTTTCAAAAGTTTGATTGGATTTCCTTGGACTGATTGTCCAATGGTTTGGACGGTACATAAATCGGGATAAGTTTCGGCTAAATAATCGAGATATCCTAATATGTCGGAGAATCGATGATAGGCTTGCCATGTGAGACGGTGTCCTGGAATTGGGATGAAATTTAGTGTTTTTTGTTGTTTTTTTTTGTTTGTTTGTGTGCTGAAATATATTGGGGAGGTGCTGTAGAAAGAGAGGTAGCATGCGATTACATACATATAGGGTTACGGACCCCAATTTGCCGATGGCCACAATTCCAGTTTGTTGCCCAATGATGTGAGACCTCTCCACGCTAGGATATATTTATAGGGGAGTTTTCGCACTGAAAGTTACCAGCTTGCTCACTTATTAGCAAATTATTTGTTGTTATTTGTTTTACATTTTTCTGATATAACTGCCAAAAAAAGCAAAAGATAAATCTTCAAAACTCAAGAGACATTTTTTTTTTAGACAACAAATATTAAAAATTCATTAAAAAAAGATTGTAAAATATTTCAGGAAGTAATAGTATGGACCAAAACAAATTCTAAAAATTTTCACATTTGGTATCTCCGAAACCATGTTCATTAAGACTTTTTTGTTTATTTTGGTTCACACTATTACCGCCTTAAATATTTTACAATCTTTTTTTGACACCCTGTATTTACTATTGTAGAAAAAACTCTTGGAAAATAGACGTTACACAAGTTATTTTTTGTGAAGAATGTAATAATTTATTTAGTCATCATTTTGTTTAGGTGTAACAATATAAAATAATATGAGATTTTTGAAATTATTTTTTTGAGCTAAAAAATATACTAGGTGAGTCAAGTTTTACGTGTAGCCCCTAAAACATTAATTCTTTCTAATTAAATTAAAATTATGAAATTTATGTATCAATTAGAGTAAATTGACTTCAACATCTAACCTTACTATGAAGAAATTTTTGTTCTCTCAAGTTGTTTTTTTTTCAAAATCAATTTTTTTTAATGAAAAAAAAAATTAATAAAACTTATTTTAATTATTCATTGGGAATGTTAGTTTAATTTATGATTTGTTAAAAGAACACAAAACTGTAATACAGGATGTTTTTTTAATATTACTTTATTTTTACTATCAGTGACGTCACTGGATATTTTTTTCTAGTTTTTGTTATAGTATTGTTTCATGTAGAATATGTCGTAGCAATTTTTTGCAATATTAAGAGAACACCTTGTATGTGTACATTTTTTTATGTCGTTTTTTTTTCTAATAGACATTGAAATCACACTGTACAAACTAGTATTGTTTCATACAGCGGCCGTTTTAAAATTTTATCTGCAAAAGTTACACTTTTATGTCTAAGCATAAAAGTAGAAATTTTACTTCTGTCATTAAACACAAAAATGTCAGTTTTTGTGACGTTTGGCGATAATAGTATATTATGTTACTAGGAGTGAAAGTGTCAGTTTATGTGGCGAAGTTGAACGTAGTGAGACAAATAATTCAGTTAGCCACATAATAATAATAACTCACTTTTACTCCAAATGACATATTATTTTATCTATAATTGGCAAGTAAGTAAAATGTTTATTAATTTAACTAGTGCAGTTGGTAGTGAAATATGTCAAATTCTGATGATCGATAATTGTTGAAGTAGAGAAAGAAAAAAGAAAGAAATAACATTGGTAAAAGTAAAAAGACGTAAAAATTGAATTTTTACTCGATGACTGAAAGGTAAAATTTTTACTTACGATATTTAGTCATAAAAGTGGTCACTTTTATAAATTTATTTACTCATCATTTTAATTTATTTGCAGAAGTTTACGAATTAAATAATATATGTTGTTCGGGGTGAAAAACTTTATGTGGTTTGTTATTTTTACCCCTAATGATTTAATCTACTATTATTTAGATATTTGATTTATAATCTAGAAATTTGCATTTGTGTTAATTCAAATTTTCTTGTTTTTCCTGGAGAAACACAACTATCTAAAGTTCGTATCCTTGGTACAAAAATACCTAACTAGTTTTTTATTATTGATAATGTAAGAAAAATTATAATGAATTACAGCTATTTAAGATAGAATTAAAAACACAATTTCATAAAAATATTAACCGCAAACACTACTTGGAAATAATATTGACATTTGAAATTTACAAATAAAACCAGCATTTAATAAATTGTGTAAAAAAATCTTACCTCGTCGATCATCAAGCTCAATTTCAGTCGGATTCTCCTCATCGATTGCCTTCTGTAAATCCTCAATAACAACCTCAAATGTAATTCCACTCTCGTTTAATTTTTCTTTGACATGATTCACCGCATCTGGTTTGACTAAAATATCAAGAGCGGTGGAATTCCCACCCCACATTGAAATTTCTGTAAAAAAAATCAGTTAAAAAATCACAAAAAAAAAAACACCCAAAACTTTACCATTTTCATCTCTCAACTCTGCAAGAACCTTGATTTGTTCCTTGCTCACATTACGCGTTTTCCACAATTGACTTCCCGTGTACAAAACCCTCCCTTGAACAACGACTTCACCCTCGGTGGTGGTGTTTGCAATGGGGGTTGCCCACCCTTGACCGATCACCAAAATACAAATCAACGTCGAACACCTCATTTCAATGTGAAGTTATTCGTCGATGATCGTTTTATATATACCGAGGATGAGGCGTGACCCGGTTTGTGAAGAACGGTACCGTCCTGTTTTTTTTTTTTTTCTATGGGTCGAATGCTTGTTATAAAATTAATTATATTGTAATTAGTCGCGGAGCGTTAATATTATTGTAGTTTTATCGAGTGGTTCTTTGCGATAAGTTAATTGGTTGAGAGCGTTGAACTTGTTTACCATTTTTGGGAAAAAACGGTTAAACTGTTTAGGGATATTTTTTTTTACTATTAGAAATAAAAATGTTACTTTTTTTTTATATCTTACTAAAACGCGCCAACGCTCTCAACCACTAACGGGTTATTTTCATTAATTTATATTATTTGGCCCAAAAATACATAAAAATGAAAATTTCAAAAAAAATAACCAAGAGTGACACTTTTGACAGTTTGCGTCTTCACGACGAAAACGATAGAAAAACAAAATTATACTTGAAATAATTAAGTGATTTGTTTAAGACTTTAAGAGTCCAATAGAAAAGAAATTTGGGCAAAAAGTGTGTAATTTAAGGATTTTAGGTTATGACATGAATTTATTATTTCTATCGAAGTAACAAAAACTAGATGTATCCACTGAACTAACAAAAAATAGATTTCCAGTTGATTAGTAGAGAAATTGTGAAAATTTAATAATTCAAAAATTGAATTGAATTGGGATTTAATTATATAAAATATTTGCAAATCATATAGTGTACCTCGAACACGATAATTTAACAAAAAAAACGTAATTCATCTCTTTTAAAATTGTTTAAGCCGACTAAAAAATAACAAAATGAAATAAAAATCGATAATTATTATTTTTTAGTTTGTTTCGTTCGAGTTTATTTTTGAACCAGAAGCTCATTTATTTTTCAAAGCCTGTCCAATCGTGTCTAAAAATCACAAAAATAAATTGAAAGTGATGTTATTTTATTTATTTCAAAATTAAGCCGAGAAACCACAAATTTGGTCAAAAATGCTTTTTCTTAAGCACGTCTTTGCACTAAAAGTCAAGTTTTTCGCGAGATTTCGCTAAAAGAAACCAAAAAATCAACAAATTAAGTCAAAATTATATAATTCTTGAACGTTTTAGCACGCTTTTCAGGAAAAAAAGGTAACTATTTTGAAAATTTTCGTTAAAAACAAGGAAAAAATTCAACAAAATTTGAAAAAAATGGAGTTGTTTTTGCCTTTTCCGAGAGTTAAAACCAAAGAAATTTCGATCTTCTTCAAAAGGCGCCCAAAAATCACAAAAATAAATTGAAATTTATGTTATTTTGTTTATTTCGCTTGATTTAACTGAGCAAAATTAACTGAAAAATAAGACGTGAAAACACGAAATTTGGTTGAAAATGCTTGCACGCTTTTGTACAAACTAAAAAATCAATCAATTAAGTGAAAAATTATATTATTTTTAACTTTTTCGAGCGTTTTAATTCGTTTTTCAGCTGGAAACGCAATTATTTCGCAAAATTTCGTTAAAAACAAGCTGAATTACGTCAAAAAATGATGTATTTTTTGCATTTTTTGAGTGTTTAATCAGATTTTTGAGCTTAAAACTGCGTGTTTATGAACTGTTATAAAAAAGTTATATTATATGTATTTTTAACTAACTCTTAGATTTTAACTACTCTGTTTTAGGAAATCACTAGAAAAGGGCAAAAATTACACTATTTTTGGTCCATTTTTGAGTTGTTTTTAACAAAATTTTGTAAAGTAATTGTGTTTCTTACTGAAAAATATAAAATATGTGAAAAAGACATACTTAAGTAAATTGTCATAAAAAAACAAATAATAGAACTATTTTTAATTTGGTTGTTTTTCGATTTATTTTTGAGAAAATTCGGCGAAATAATCAAGTTTCTGGTTGAAAAACGTGCAAAATGCAAAAAATTTGTTAAGTTTATTGTTATAATCGCAGTTACAGGAGTTTTTTCATTTTGAAAATGGAGTTCTTTTTGCCTTATCCGAGTATTTAAACACGTTTTTTGAGAAATTTCGTCGAAACAGGCTGAAAAATTACTTTCAGTACGTTTTTTTAGCTAGAAACGCAATTATTTCGCAAAATTTTATTAAAAACAAGCTCAGTTATGCCGATAATGATGTACTTGTTTCATTTTTGAGTGTTTTATCAGATTTTTGAGCTAAAAACTGCGTTTTTGCAAGATTTTGCTATACTACTTCAAAAATTACTAACTATTATAAGTATTTTTTATCTAACTCTTAGGTTTTAACTACTCAGTTTTAGTAAATTAAGACAAAATTGCTTACCAAAGCTGCCTCTGTGGCCACCCTATTCAACTCATCGTGGTCTTCAAGTACCACATTAGGGGATCCCCATGGATAAACAATGTATTGTCCATAAGCATGCATTGCAATATACCCAATCCTTCCTCTGTAAAAACTACTACAAGGATCATTCGACGATCCATTTTTCCCCCAATTATAACCCCAATTTCTATTAAGATCAACACCGATTCAATTTTTCACTTTCGATCGATTTTTCCTCCACAATCTCTCCACATTGTAGGACCATTCATAACCATCGGGATTCAAAACTGGTACAATGTACCAATCTAGGTTTTTCACCCCAAATGGTTCATTTTGATAATTCGAAACAAATTGATTTATGAAATCCATTCATGGGCGTGAATTCCACCCTCGATGAAAATCGCACGATTTCCTTCCCTTATTTCGATTTCGATAGAAATTTTCAAAAGTTTGATTGGTCGATTTTCAATCGAACGTCCGATTGTGTGAAGTGAACACAATTTCGGAAAATTTTGTTCCAAATAATGCAAAAAATTGTGATAATAATTCCATGTTAAACGATATTTTTTGAGGTTTGGAGGTTTGGCATTTGCCTCATCGATGATTTTTTGTATGTCTTCAATTGAAATTTCAAACTTTTGACCATTAAACTCGTCTCTGACTTTATCTTTGATTGCATCGATTTGTGTAGAATTGAGGCCCCATATCGCAACATCTACAATTGATTATTTTTCTCGTCTTGATTAAAATACTTACAGTTGTTTTTAGTAAATTTCGAATTGTGTTGTTGTTGGTTATTTTCCATAGTTGGTCCCCTGTATAAGTGATTTTTTCAGTTGTTTGTCCACCGATAAAATAAATAAGGTAAAGACAAGTCGGAACAGTTGGATTCTTCATTTTAATGTCTCTAGTTTACATGTTTCTTGATTTTATAGAAACTATTGACCCGGTTATGGGAAGTTACCGTTGTCTCAATCAAAATCATAAATCTACAAAAAATACAAAGTTATTTCTCTTTTCTTTATTGTCTTAGTTTTTCGCCCAATGGTAACAGAATTCGAAATTAAGACAGTCGTGTTGTCTAAAAATAATTAATTTTAGATCGGTTATCACTGCTTTTGTGTTGTTTATGATGACCCAATTGGAGGCAACAACACAGTTATTGCACCTTTTTTGCCTTGTTGCTACCTTACCATAACAATAGGAGAATATTTTTGTAATTTAACGAAAAATAAATCAGCGTCACGTAGGTTTTCCCGTTGTGATTTCCATTAAAATAAAGTTATTGAGAAGTTAAAAAAAGTTTTAGTATTGTTAGAAATTTGTTTTTGCGAAATAAGAAAATAAGGGAATAAAATAAAAACTCAAAAAAGACATTTTTGAGTTGTTTTTACCGAATTTTGCAAAATAATTGTGTTTCTAGCTAAAAAAAACATTCGAAAATGGCAAATGTAGATTATCTAAAATTCGAAAAATTTAATTTTTGTCTCAATTTGTTGATTTTTTTGTTTGTTTCAATCTAGTGAAACAATCAAAAAAATAATATCAGTTTCAATTTAATTTTATAATTTTTTAGTTTCTTTAAACGAGTTTTTTGGATTTTATTCCGAAAATGTACTTAAATACTCGGAAAAGGCAAAAACAACACCACTTTTGGCTAAATTTGTCGAATTTTCGGCTTGTTTTTACCAAAATTTTGGAAAAGTAATTGTGCTTCTTACTGAAAAATGTAAAATATGTGAAAAAGACATACTTAAGTAAATTGTCATAAAAAAACAAATATAACTATTTCTAATTTGGTAGTCTTTCGATTTATTTTTGAGTAAATTTGGCGAAATAATCAAGTTCCTGGTTGAAAAACGTGCAAAATGCAAAAAAATAGTTTTTGTGGCAATCGCAGTTACAGCAGTTTTTTTCATTTAAAAAATAGAGTTGTTTTTGCCTTTCCCGAGTATTTAAGCACGTTTTTTGAGATATTTTCGCTGAAAAATTGCTTATCTTTAAATTTTGTGAGCGTTTTAATACGTTTTTCAGCTAGAAACGCAATTATTTCGCAAAATTTCATTAAAAACAAGCTGAATTATATCGAAAATGATGTAATTTTTGCATTTTTGAGTGTTTTATCAGATCTTTGAGCTAAAAACTGCGTTTTTACAATTTCAAAAATCACTAAACTGTTATAAGAAAGTTATATTATAGGTATTTTTGTAATTCAACGAAAGATTTTTAAAATAAATCAGCGTCACGTAGGTTTTCCCGTTATGGTTTCCTTTAAAATAAAGTTATTGAATAGGTAAAAAAAAGTTCTAGTATTGCTACATTTGTTTTCGCGAATTAAAAAAATATAAGGAAATAAAATAAAAACGAAAAAAAGACAAAACTGGAAAATTAATTGTTTATTTTTATATACAGGATGGTTTCAATATAGTTGTGCGGTAATTTTAATAGGGGTGAAAGTAGGGAGCAAAAGAGCAAAAAAACTTATTCAAATGTTCATAATTTTTGAGATTTTTTTAGTTTCTGAATAAATTAAACTTTGCCAACAAAAATTGTAAACAAATATAATCTCTGATATTGGCTTTTTAAAATTTATTACATTGTTTTAAAAAAGAATAAATTAAAAGTAGCAAAAACAGTCACAGAAAAGTGTCCTCATATTAAAAAAAAAATAATAATAAAAAGGTAAAAACTTTATACAAACTTTTTGTATAAAATTGCAAAATAAAATAGAAAATGCGTTTCTGCGGACTGTTTTGCTAATTCGTCGTCTTTCACCGCGAAACTGATAATTCTTGCTAAAAAATTTTTCAAAATTAGCCGAAAATTGGAAAATAATGTACAAAATGCGTTTTTTGGCCTGTTTTGCCCGTTTCAGCGTGAAACTTACTAGTTTTTATAAAATTTGTACCAAAATAGGGCAGAATATCGAAAAATAAGGTGCGAAATATGACCTCTGAGGTTAGTTCTTTAAAATTTATTACATTGTTTTAAGAAAAATAAGTTAAAATTAAAATAAAATTAGAAGAGTAATAAAAAGGTAAAAATTTTGCAATAATCTTAATAAAACTAATAAATTTTTGTTTTAGCCAAATGCTTAGGTGAATAAAAAAAACAGAATTTTCAACTTGATTTAAAATTTGACACGTTTTGGTTTTTCTAATGATATGTCGTCGACATTTTTCCAATGGAAGCCCCAATTTTTTTTTTAGCCAATCAATTCGATAGATCTTTTAATTGTCGCAATGATCAAAATATTAAATATTGCATAAAGTTTTCGAAAAGAAATTCACCAAAAAAGTGAAATAATATCAACAAAAAACAAACATACCTATAATTTAAGTCAAGTTGTAGAATTTTATTTTTTTTTAATTTGACCTGTTGGTTACGTGAATCAACCTATCTAATTCAACGTAAAAATAACACTTTCATTTTTTTAAAGAAAGTTAAAAAAAAAAGATATACAGGGTGAACAAAAAAGTAGGGAATCAAACGGTTTTTTAATCATTTGCCTTTAGAAACGTGCTATTGAAATGTGATTTTGTTTGGAGAATAAAATTTTTGTTTTGTTTTTGAGTTATGCGGTTTTATTTCAAAATGACAACTTGAATTATTTTTTTTTTTTGATTAAAACTGATTTGAATTGAATAAAATGTAGATAGTTGTAACTTTTAGATCATAGTCTTTGTAATAAAAAGATTTTATAGTGGGTTGCCATTTAAAAAAAATAGTAGTAGTCAGAAGTAAAAAGAGAAAAGAATAAAAAAAATACTTCTACTTTCAGTAAAAGAATCATTAATTGACTCACACTGTATAATACTTATGGCATTGTTAAATAATTATTAAAAAATGGGATGGACTTATATGAACACTACATTGTTTCTAAATTGCCAAATTTGGTAATTAGTAAACAAAAAACAATGGTATAAATTGTATCGCCTTTTAAACGGTGTCATTGCACGCATATTAGTAGTCGGACCTGTTTATGCATTTAAAGATTCAAGTTTACCGTTAAAAGAGTAACATTTTCAGCCCACACAACGTAAACTTTCTTCTAAAATAAAAAAAATTACTCCTTTCCTAGGCTGAATTGCAAAAAACCAGCAGCCTTCTCGACCAAACCAAAGCGGCCCTTAGTGCAAAATCGTTATGTTCACCCGAAATAAACCTCGAACTCGAGAAAACCCTCGAAGAATTGAAAGATTCCAAAGAAATAAACACAGCCTTACAATTACAACTCGACACAATTAATAAAACACATTGCCTTTTGAAAAAATCCTACGACGATTTGCTCATCTCAAATAAGAATCTCGAACGCAAACTCGCCGAATTAGACACAAATTTGACCAAATATAAAACCGAAATTGTCAATTTACAAAATGAGAAAGACAAACTGGTCGAGAACGAAAGCAATTTAAACAAACTTTTAGAAATTGAAAAACTCCAAACGAAAAGTTTGAAATTACAAAACGAGAAAGACGCAAAATGCATTCAAGATTTGAATCGACAAATCAAAGAAATGGAAAGGATCATCGCAAGGAAACATCCGGATTCGGTTTCGGCATTGATCGTCGCGGCGAAAAACGACGCCACTGATTCGAATCTCACTGCAAGAAAAATCCTCGAAGATCGAATTAAAATCCTCGAAGAGGAAGCAATGAATCGCGATACACAATCATCGAGGATTTTCCTCGATATTCAAGAGAAATTCAATCAAATGAAATTGAAATACGAGAGTCACATTGAAGATCTTGAATTGCACGTCAATGATCTCAAAAATCAGTTAAAAAGACGAAATAATGACACTTTCGATGTTTATACTCAAACTATAACCGATGAAACGAAAATTCCCCAAAAAGATACTCACACGGTTTCGGTTCAAACCGAACAGAAATCGGTTAAACGAGCAGAGGTTAAAGAAGATGCACATTTAGTTGCAACGATAAGAGGTTTGCAAACCGATTTGAGTAATAAGGAGAAAGTTGTTGCGAAGTTGCAACGTGAATTGGATGAGTTGCGTAAAACGAATAGGAAGTTGCAAAAGGAGCGTGAAGGGAGTTTGAGGAGTTTGAAGGAGTTTCGAAGTTATCCGGAGAAGTTGTCGTCGCAGGTTAAAACTCCAGTCGATGAGGAGGAGATGAAGGTTTTGAGGGCCGAAAGTGAGAAAATGAAACAACAATTGTGTCGGATTGAGGAGGATTATCAAGCCTTGAAAACAAAGCGATTGCATGATGTGAGTATTTTTTTACTATTAGTAGAAAAAATATATTAATTCCCTCGATGGTACACAGCTATAAATGATTGTGGAGTCAAAAATTTTAGTTTGGCAACCTTGACTTTCAAATTTTAATTGTCAAACTTTTTAGTGTTGCCAATAGATTTTTTTTTATATTTTGTTTCCAGTTGAGTGCTTTGCAAGAAGCACACGAACGTGAAATTGCCACTTATATTACGAGTGTTACTCCGTTAAGAGAGCAACTTGAGTTGCAACAAGTTTCGCTTTCAACGTTGCAAAGTCAATTGAGTAAAACTAAAGAAGAGTTGATGATTATTACTGTTGAAAGAGATCATTTAAAACAAATGGCGGATAAGAGTGAAATATGGCGGCAAGGGGACACCCCCGAAGTTGAAGCTTTGCAAAAAAAGGTGCGTTTTTTGTGTTTTATCTAGTCTGGTTTTTTTTTTTTAAACGGAAATCACCAAGTCAAAATTTTGGTGTTTATTTTGTCACTACTGAGAAATTACGACCTAGGATTTGAAATTTTAGGAAAATTACGTTTCTCATGTTGTTTGTAACTAGAATTTTCAGTAGTAATATCACAAGTGTGGGGATTTTTTCCCAATATGGGGATGTTTTAGGGTAATGTTGGGAATTTCGCAAAAAAGAAAATAAGACAATTTTTTTAAGTTCAATTTTTTGCGCCAGTCTGGTAACACGTGCTACCAACATTGGTAATGTAGTACAATCTAAAGTCCCTAAATACTGAAACAGTAAAAAAATCTTTGATTTTTAATGATAAAATATACAAAATGAAGCATGTGAGTTTTTAAATTTTTTAAAAAAGTTTTATTTGTTTATTCTGTTTACAGAATTTGGTTTATTTTTTCTTTTTATAATAAATTGTTTATTTTTAAGAAGTGACAGTTTGTCCATACAGTGATGCCAGATTAGGGAATTTTTTCCTAGTTCTAGGGATTTTTTGACAAAAAGGGAAAAAAGAATGTTTTTTATAATCTAGGGATTTTTTACATTTTCAGCAAAAACGTCAAGATTTTATAATTTTTTTCATACTTATGGCACAATTTCAAAAATTTTTAATATGATTATTGTAATTTTTAGCGCCTTTGTATATTAGTTTAGCACTTGGTAAAATTAATGAAATAGATAAAAATTAAGTAGGTATCTAAATATACACGTTTATTTGAATTTGTTTTAANAAATTAATAAATTCTATAATTAATAGATATAAATAAAAATTAAGTAGGTATCTAAGTATACACGTTTATTTGAATTTGTTTTAATTTATTTGTATTTAATTTTTTAGTAAAATTTATTATTTATTAATTTTTTGTTGTATTTATATTACCTCAACATAATACGCCTATGAAATAGTAACTTTTTAATTTTTTTAAATAGTTGTAGGTAATTCTAGGGAGTTTAAAAGCTACAATCTAGGGCCAAGCTCTTAACCTCATCTGGCATCACTGTGTCCATAACTGTTGAAATTTTTAACCAGTAGTGGGGAATTTAGTGTCTCAGTTGGCACGTTTTTCGGTACCAAAGTGAGGAGAAAAATATTTTACACCTGGCAGCACTGGTCAACTATCAATTGAGTTATCCATACAAGTTAAATTTTTAACAATAGTTACAAAATATTACTAATATCTTTTGTTTATCACAATAAACTACATAGCCTCCAACCTAAACAAATTTATGGCAACATAATAACAAAAAATTTCCTAAAGCCTAGGTAGTAATTTCTTGTTTTCATGGTGAAATGTCAAAATTTTGACATTGCCAACATTAAGACTGTTTGACATTTCCGTTTGAAATGAAACAGACTTTAGTTAATTTTATTGATTGTGAGTTTTTAGGTTGCATTTTTAGAGAAACGCTACGAGGAGCGCGAGTTTCGGTTAAGAGCGATTGTTCATGGTTTAGCACAAAAGAACGTCACTAATCGAAGTTGTGAACAATGTGCCGAAAGACAGAAGCAATTAATTGGATACAAAATCGAGCTAGACCAACTTTTAGCGACTTTACGAGCATTGAAGTAAAGTACAATTAGTCTAGTCATTTACTTATATAAGAGTGTTTTTTACGTATTTACAGAGTGCAACGTACTTCCATTTATTTTTTAATTTACTTTGCTTCCAATTGTTATGCCAAAGAAAAATAAAACAATATTATTTAAATCATGTTATAACAGGAATCCTCAAAACAATCGGGAGATTCGAGATAAAAATCGCTTAAAGTTGTGTGGTATAGAGGGATTCCTTTCAGTATTTGGGAATTTGCGGCGTTTATTTGCACTACGACGTAATCCCCAGCCCCTAGTTCTTTACTACTCCGGCCATCCTTTTGCGGTACTTCCCCGGCAGGGATAATAACCTAAAAATGATTAAAATTAGTGAAAATATCACAAATAACCCAAAAATTACTTTAATATTTTGGTCATTTCGACCAGCTAATTGATTTCGCGATCTTTTACTAAAACCTTCGATTAAAACCAATTGTAAGCGCCCGATTTGGGCCGCATTGAGTTTCTCTGCGTGAAACCGAAACGTTTTAATCATTTGTTCGAGACGTTTCTGCTTTATTTCGGCTGGAACATCATCAGTGTATCTGCGATGTGCGGCTGTTTTCTCGCGCATACTATAGGGAAACAAATATGCGTTGTTGTATCTGCAAAGTAAGAAACAGTATATTATTCAACCACTGGGAAAGTCATGAGTTTAATACTACACTTTTTCTGATCTTAAATATTTGTAATTTAAATAATTTGAAATAATTTTCTCAACTGAAAACGGTTGAGAAAAGTACAAATTCTTTAATACAGGGTGATTTTTAAAAAACGTCAGGCACTGTAGAATTTTAATTTATGGTCCGATTTCAAAAATTAAAAAAATAAATTAAATGGCTTTTAATATAATATAAGCTGACAATTTTAGGATTTTTTTAAATGTC